AGTGCAGGTTGGTGCTGGAGCTAGATCTTCTGAAAGTCTAAAATACAACAAGACTAGAGGAGTTCCATTACCTACTAGCTCTACAAAGCCAGTGGGTCAAGCATTTGAAGAGAATACGAAGGAGATATGGTCTTTGTTAATGGATGATAAAGTCCCAACCATTGGCATTTATGGGATGGGAGGGGTTGGTAAAACGACAATATTCAAACATATCTATAATGAGCTTCTACAAAGACCAGATATTTGTGATCATGTTTGGTGGGTGACTGTGTCTCAAGATTTTAGCATTACTAGATTGCAGAATCTCATTGCTAAAAGTCTTCATCTAGACCTTTCAAGTGAAGATGATGATCTGGATAGAGCTGTTAAATTGTCAGAAGAACTAAGTACGAAACAAAAATGGATTCTCATTTTAGATGATTTGTGGAACAATTTTGAACTTGATGAAGTGGGAATTCCTGTGCTGTTGAAAGGATGCAAGCTGATTATGACAACTAGATCAGAAACGGTTTGTCATCGGATGGCTTGCCGCCACAAAATCAAAGTGAAGCTACTTTATGAGGAAGAAGCTTGGATTTTGTTCATGGAGAAACTTGGACGTGATGGAGCACTTTCACCAGAAGTAGAAGGAATTGCGAAAGATATTGCTGGGGAATGTGCTGGTTTGCCACTGGGAATTATTACAGTGGCAGGAAGCTTGAGGGGAGTGGATGACCCACATGAGTGGAGAAATACATTGAACAAATTGAGAGAATCAAAATTTAGGGACATAGATGAGAAAGTATTCAAGTTATTGTGGTTTAGTTATGATCGGTTAGGTGATTTAGCACTACAACAATGTCTCTTGTACTGTGCATTATTTCCTGAAGATGATGAGATTGAAAGGGAGACGTTGATAGGTTATTTGATCGACGAGGGAATAATTAATGGAAAGAGAAGAAGGGGAGATGCATTTGATGAGGGACATACGATGCTTAATAGACTTGAAAATGTCTGCCTAATGGAAAGTGTAAAAATAGGGTATAATGATAGTAAATGTGTCAAGATGCATGACTTGATTAGGGACATGGCCATCCAAATAGAAAACTCTAAAGTCATGGTTAAAGCAGGTGCGCAATTAAAAGAGATACCAGATGCAGAGGAGTGGACAGAGAATCTCACAAGAGTCTCACTAATGCGAAACCAGATCGAAGAAATTCCTTCCAGCCATTCACCAATGTGTCCAAATTTGTCATCTCTAATTTTACGTGGGAATAGAGAGCTGCGATTGATTGCGGATTCATTTTTCAAGCAATTACATGGGCTCAAGGTCCTCGATCTGTCTTGCACAGGTATTGAAAATTTGCCAGACTCTGTCTCTGATTTGGGGAGTCTCACAGCATTATTGCTCAATTATTGTGAGAAATTAAGACGTGTTCCATCATTAAAGAAGCTAAGGGAATTGAGAAGGTTGGATCTCTCTTGCACTACACTTGAAAAGATGCCTCAAGGAATGGAATGCCTAACCAACCTGAGGTATCTTAGAATGAATGGATGTGGTGAAAAGGAGTTTCCTCGTGGGATATTACCAAAACTCTCTCACCTGCAAGTCTTTGTACTAGAGGAAATGTTATCCGGTGACAGATATGCTCCGATAACAGTTAAAGGAAAGGAAGTAGTATCCTTGCGAAATTTGGAAAGTTTGGATTGCCATTTCGAAGGTCTATCTGACTTCGTGGAGTATCTCAGATCTTGGGATGGTATTCAATCATTAAGCACATATAAAATTTTAGTAGGAATGGCGGATTTAAATTATTGGTTTGACAGTGATTATTTGCCAGGTAAAACAGTTGGGTTGGGTAATTTGGGTAATTTGAGTATCAACCGAGATGGAGATTTTCAGGTCAAGTTCTTAAATGGCATTCAAGGACTGGTTTGCGAATGCATCGATGCAAGAAGTTTATGTGATGTTTTGTCATTAGAGAATGCAACTGAACTGGAGTTCATCACCATTTGGGATTGCAATAGCATGGAGAGCTTGGTTTCATCTTCTTGGTTCTGCTCTGCACCACCACGATTGCCATCATATAATGGTATGTTTTCTGGTCTTAGAGAGTTTAATTGTAGTGGATGTAACAACATGAAGAAGTGGTTCCCACTTGTGTTGCTGCCAAACTTCGTAAACCTGGAAGAGATTTATGTTAGTGAATGTGAGAAAATGGAGGAGATAATAGGAACAACAGATGAAGAAAGCAGCACCTCCAATTCCATCACGGAAGTCATTCTCCCAAAGTTAACAACACTGGTTTTGTGTAATTTACCAGAACTGAAAAGCATTTGCAGTGCAAAACTGATTTGCAATTCTCTTTATTATATTTATGTACTGGATTGTGAGAAGCTGAAGAGGATGCCAATTTGTCTTCCGTTGCTTGAAAATGGCCAGCCATCTCCTCCCCCTTCTCTTGAATGCATCCGGGCACGTCCACAAAAATGGTGGGAGACAGTAGTGGAGGGGGGGCATCCTAATGCAAAGGATGTCCTTCGTCCCTTTGTAACGTTTGAGTAGGAGGAGACTGATCTGCGCCTAATATAATACCAATGCAAAGGATGTCCTTCGTCCCTTTGTAGACTTTGTATAGGAGGAGACTAATATGATATAATATAATATAGAATAGAGGGTAAGCATAATCTCTCTCAATCGAATTGTACCTTTCGTACTGTTAATCCTTTCGTTGTTAGAATACATCTTTGTTGCATCATTTATCAATTCTATCCTAATGCAAAGGATGTCCGAAGGACCTTTCTCTCTCGAAATAATGAATATGTAGAATGGTTAATTACTCCGTTAAATGTAATGGTTCGTATCCTTCTTTGTTGCATCATTCATCAATTCCATCCATCTGTAAAAATACTAATCATTTTTGTAAGTTTAAATTTGCTCATATTCAATAATATATTTTATTCTTGTAAGAAAATCCAAGACTAACATAAACTAATAGAAAGAAAGAGCATTTATTAATATGAAATATTTCTTTTTTATATAGTATGCTTACAATTACATAAATAATATTTTTTATTTGTTTCATTATTTTTTAAGACTATTGAATTGTCATATTAATTTTTTTTAACTCGATAGATAAATGAATATAACTTGAAGTTTGATTAATATTATTTTTCATCCTATTGAGTTTCCCCAAGATGAAAATCATATATTGATTTATCATTAAAATAACTTAATAAATATACTATTTTTTAAAAAAGAATTCATCTGTTCACATTTTTTTGGCCGCTTTTTTGAGAGGTACGGTGGATTTTTATTAAAAAATAATTTTTACAAAATATAGACTATAGTTTTTTGTATGGCTTTAAGAAAAATCAAAGTTACCTCCAAATTATTTTAATATATTTTTAAATAAAAATATTTTAAAAAATAATCACACTATCAAACATATTTATTTTCTTTCTGCATTTAACCACTGTGAACTAGATTTATATACTGCAACTTTATTACTTTTCTAAGCCATATATTTTTCTCTGATCTGTGATTTCTCTTCTTCTTCTTTTTTTGTTCGTTCTTGGGATAGATAGAACAGAATTGTTATTAAAATTAAAAAAGAAAAAACTGCCCAGACTTTTACCATGTACCGGGAGAGAAAACACTAGAGATTAAAGTAGCCATAAATATTCCATCTTAATTAAGCAAACTTGGCAAATGTAATTACACAAATCTGACTTAATACATATTAAAGTTTTTGAAGATTGAATACGTGGTCTTTATTTTTAAATAATTTGAATGTGATAATATTAAAAATATAAAAATATTTTAATATATTTTTAAATAAAAAATATTTTAATACAAGTTATTCTATTAAATGGATTAATTGTTTGATTATATTTTGATCATTTATTTATCTGTATTGATTTAATCTTTTTACTATAATATTGATTTAATAAAAAGAACTCCCAAAGCATGTACTTACTGCCATGATTGTTATGCCCGCGATCAAAACATAATTTGTTTTTGTAGTCGGAATCATGTTTGAGTGCATTTAAAAATCTGTTTATTTTAAAAAAATATTAAATTAATATTTTTAATATATTAATATTAAAAATAAAAAAATATTTTGATTACTAAATCTCATGACATTAAATAGAGTGCCCCCCCCCTTTTATTTTTTTTTGTTTATTTTATTATAGGCTGGTTTAGAAATCAGCTAAGACGTCTAATAAAATATTTTTATTCTTAGAAATTTTGTGAACAAAAAGAAAACTAATTTAATTGGGGATTAATTGAGTAATTAATTACCTAAAAGAGGATTTTCTTTTATTTTATTTTATTTCTAGTAACAGCTAACTTCATCAAACCCCAATAGCCTGATTCTTGGATCACAGAAGCTTGAGACATGGTACATGCTACAAGGAAAAAAAATGATTGTGTTGAAAACCTTTAAGACTGGACTGTCGTATTCTAACAATAATGTTTGGACCATTTAAGATTGGGCCCAACTTCACTTCAACTTTATTTTATATTTATAATAAATAAAAAGCATGATTGTGTTCAAAAGAAATTGCTATCAACTGGTGTGCAGATTGGATAGCAAATCAAGCTATGTTGAAGTTTTCTACTGCAGTGAAGCTCCCTCTGGTTGCTTGAAGCTAATGCCTGATTGTGTTCCTGGGTTTTGATAAGTGTATGAAAGTCTATTTTATTGTTTGTTTGTTTTTGTATTTTAAAAATATTTTTAAAAATTAATTTATATTTTATATATTTTGAATTATTTTGATGCATTGATTTTAAAAATATTTTTAAAAAAATAAAAAAAAATATTATTTTAATATATTTCAATATAAAAAATATTTTAACAGTCAACAACAGATAACTACACTTTCAAACTATATTTAAAGTGCTTAGAAATTAGCCTCTAATGAGGATTTCAAAAAAAAAGAACACCTAAAGCATGTACGTGGCTGCCAAAGAAGTCCTGAGATTTAGGTTTTTGATGAAAACGTTTGGGACACGGGGACCATGTATTCAGTTATGTTTCTTATATTAAATGGATTAATTCTTTGATTTATTTTTTATTTTTTTTACTTTAATATTGGTCTTGAGTATATTGCTGTCGTTGAATTTTAAAAATAGGGATAATCATTTGCGTTTTTAAAAAAGTGATGAATGATTTTTCAAAAGGGTTATATTTGGTGTTATGTTGATTTAATTATGTATACCTTCCAAGTGGAAATTTAGGGATCCCCGACGCTCTACTGTTTGTAGAATTTCAGTACTTTCTCCGTAAGTCACTCTGCTTTATTTTAATTTGCATTTAAAATTAAATTTTATTCTCTATTAAATCATTTAATATTTTCTTCTATTCTTTTAGTTTGTCTCCATGTAGAATCAATGCTGTGCTACCATCACCGCATTATTCTTTGGATGTAATTAGTAATTTATTATTAGTTATTAATTTTTTGGATTCACTTAAAAAACAAACACAAAAAATAATAATATAAAATGCATGACCCATAAAAAATAATAAAGAATATTTTTACCTTGGATTTTTCTTCTTCTAGTTGTATCTCTCTATTTCTTTAAAATAAGTATAAAATAATAACTAATAAAATGACATTAATTAATCTATAAGCACTATCAAATTACTCTCCAATTATTTACCCTGGAATTTGGATGATCTATAATTCCAAGCGGGCATGCTGCATTTCTTAGTTAGGGGGAGCAAAAATTGAGCTAGCATGTTTCTGGCCTTTTATTTTCTGTGTATGATTTGTTTGGCTAGTTTATAGGACTTTTGCACTAGGATTTTTGTCTAATTTATCTAAATATAGGATTTAGAATCTTGATGAATGAAACTAGCATTCTCGATTTCTTGGGATAGAAAGAAGAAAATTATTATTAAAATTAAAAAAGAAAAAACTGTCTAGGCTTTTACCGTGTACCAGGAGAGAAAACACTATAGATTAAAATAGCCTTTTATTTTTTAATTTTTTTAATCAATGATTATTTTTATTTTTATTTTTATATTTAAATTGATAACTTGTTTTAATTAACTTGTGATTTGAGGCTTCAATAAGTTTACTTGACAAAATTTTGTTAAATGTAATTCATTAAAAATAATTGAAACTTTGAAAATCAAATGATACTGAAACCAGAAATTTCATCATGAGATGTTTTTAAAAATTCTAATCTCTAAAGTTTTTGCATTTTACATTTTGATTTTAATTTTTAATTTTGATTTAAAATTTCATTTTATTTAGTAATTCATGAGTTTGAGGTAAAAAAATCATTATAAAACTCGGTAAAAGATGAAAAATTATTGGTTGATCCAATTTTGTGATAAGACAAAAAAACACGATTATCTGAAAAACTAGTGTGAAGATTGGATAAGGGCTAAAATATAAATTTGTAGAAGGGAGTTGGGAAAAAAATAATTTCCATGGGCATGGATTATCGAAAAGTTTGATCATGAGATGATTTGAAAGATAAGGGTACGGCGTTCATTGTACTCCAAACTTATTGACTGATGTACCTCTTTAAAAAACTAGAAAAGGGATTAATGTAGTTTATGGATGCAGTAATGTTTTTTTCTATTAAATGGATTAATTGGTTGATTATATTTGAATCATTTATTTATCTCTTTTGATTTAATTTTTTTTACTATAATATTGATTTAATAAAAAGAACTCCTAAAGCATATACGTGCTGCCAAAAAAAATCCTAAAATTGACTCAATTGGAAAGAATCATGATACTTACTGCCAACGTTGTTATGCCCGCAATCAAAACATAATTTGTTTTTGTACTCCGATTTATGTTTAATTACATTTAAAAATCTGTTTATTTTGAAAAAATATTAAATTAATATTTTTTAATATATCAATATTAAAAATAAAAAAATATTTTGATTATCAAATCTCCATCTTGTTGGTGTTTTTGTTTTTCTATATGTGGTTTGAATCTTTAAAGAAATCCATGATAAATAAACCGATCTTTTTCTCGGATTTTATAATCCATGATTCAATAAATTATCTTTTTCTCGGATTTTATAATCCATGCCCACGGCTTATAATCTGCGTTGAAAATTAATTTTTGTTCTCTATTCAATCATTTAATATTTTCTTCTATTCTTTTAATTTGTTTCAATATCGAATCGACACTCCAGAGGTTTAGTTATTCTTCAATCACCACTTCTCTCGTACGTCATTCTTAAGCATATTTTATCAGAAGATGATTGCTTGCAATTTAGTTATTCTTCAGTCTATCATGTATAGTTACAATGTGAAATCGAAACTCCATACCTTCCTACTTCAATCCAGAACATAGGTCACGATGTTAATAATTTATCTTATAATGCAGAAATATGTTTATTAGTAAGATTCAGACAAGATGAAGTACAATTAATTTACATAGGTCACGATCTTAATAATTTATCTTGTAATGCAGAATTACAATTAATTTACCTGGATTAATAATTTATCTTAATAATTTACCTTTCTATATCTTATAATGCAGAAATATGTTTGGGTTGCTTCCTGGCAACTTCCTTCCTATCAAGCAATACGTTAATTAATTATTACTGAGGCGACCTTAATAATAAATTATAGCAAGTAAAAGAGCTAGCGGCTGTAACATTCTCTTCCACATCTCATCTCATTCTACAATTCCCTATTTTCCTTTCCCAGACTCATGATAAGTGCGAACTAGATTTATGTATATTGCATCTTTATTATTTCTCTAAACCATATATTCTTCTCTGATCTGTGATTTCTCTTAATACTGCTCAAGCAAACCAGCTAGCACTTGAAGAACATCCTGAATCCAGGTAAATTAATTGTACTTCATCTTGTCTGAATCTTTGAAATAATCCA